ATTACACTTCAGGGTGTGGGTGATCATGACTCTCCACAACTTCACATCCTTAGCAGCTCTAAGCAATTTTTTTTTTTACTCTCTTCTGTCATATTTTTATTATTATTATTATTATTATTTTTTTACATAGGAAGGCTACTCTATGTTTGCTACGTCCTTCTTGCTTTCAATAACTCTTTGTGAGTGTCAAATTTTCCTAACCTTCTTTCCTCATTATGTATCCCGGGAAATTCCAACTCTTAATGATTCTGTAACGTGAAATTATATAAATGCTAAACGCTTCAAATACTTCGGAGCGTGGATCAGTTTTTATTTTATTTTTTGTTAAGCATTCCACCCCAAGCAAGGTGGGAAGCCACTAGCACACAAGGGGTTACAGAGAGTTGGAGCTAGAGCAAATAGGAGTGATAGAGAAAAGGATGAAGAGATGGTTAGGGGATAGATCAGGGCATCTAGAAACGTCGATTGACATTACATTTGAATAGTTGGAGATTATAGCTATCAGGAAAATAAGAAATAGGGAGGGAGTTCCACAGGTGAGAAGTGCGAGACATGAAGCTATTGGAGTAGAAGAGACGGCTATATTTAACAGTATCGACAGTGAAAGGGTGAGAGCGAGATGCCAGGCTAGTTGAACGCTTAAATTCATAAAGTCTGGGAACCAGCGAAAGCAGCTCATCGGAGTAGTTACCCTGAAAGTATTTGTAAAAAAGACAGAGGGAGGCAACGGCACGTCTGTGAGAGAGTGACTGGAGACGAGATGCCAGATCAGGGCCAATTACATTGCATATCTGTCTTTGGATTTTATCAAGGATCTTGAGACAAACAGAAGGGGCCCCAGACCATATATGGGAGCAATACTCCATGCAAGGGCGAATGGTTGATTTGTAGATTTGAAGAATCGACTCTGGCGAGAAAAATTTCCTGGCGCGGCACAGGGAGCCGACTTTCCTTGCGGTGGACGAAGCTAGTTATAACAAATTTAATTTAGGAGATAAGGAATTTGGACATAGAATAAGCTGCAATGAGAGTAGTTTCGCACAATACTGCAAGATGCTTCTCCTTTATGTGCATTGTCTCCACAGGACGCAGGCGCCATGGCTCTCCACGACTTCCTGTCCTTTGTAGCTCTTAATTTTTTCTTTCTGTTATCTCTCCTAAACCTTGTTCCGCCATCCATTTACTCAAGCCCATCAAGTATGTTATGCGTTGTTTTCCTCTGTCCTTCAATCAGTCCTGTGAGTATCAGATTTTCCAAGTCCTCTTTCCTCATTAAGTGACCTGAATTCGAGTGATGCTCTTAAATAGCCTCGGCAGATCTAGAATCGCTTATGCATGGCGCCGAACTCATTCAGAAATATCTAAACTGTCAGCTGTATACAACCACTTTCGAAGCTCAATGGTTAAACACGGCTTCAAAAACATAAGAGTGTAAGAGAAAGAACAGAAAGCACGTCACTTGAAAACGTTCAACAACTAAAATGGGTAGCACATGGAAATCGGAGAGAAAATAATAACATATTTTGACATTCTACACTGCCTTAAACAAAAGGTTAGGGAGGAAACTCCGATCAATACTAGAAACAGCGGTAATAGTGTACCCGTAAAAATTTGCTTTAAGATTTTATAAATTTCACCCAGTCAGTGAATGCCGAATGTTTCCATTACAATTACCATATTAGATTAAATTTAAATGTGTTAAATTTAAAAAAATGTGCAAAAAAAAATCTTAAAATTTTGTAACACATTATTTATCATCTCAGTTGCGTCTCTGTCTTTGAGCAGAGAATGAGCTCTTTCTTCTCTGTCAAAGGACAGAGTCGCAACTGAGGAAAATTATATTGAGAAGTGCCAAGCCCTTAAACAGCCGCCTTTTTTTTGTTCCCTTTCATTGAACCAGAGAGAGATTTCTAGAAGAGACAGACAGACAGACAGACAAATCGGTATTATCACCGAGGCCATTTTAAAGTTCCTGACGGCTGCAGGCAATTTTTAGTTCCTAGCCCGGGTGTACGCGCTCAGGTTATTGAAAATAAAAAAATGACCTTGTGACACAACTCATCTTAGTGGGGAGACAGAGTAAATACCTAGATTAAATTTAGATGTTTTTCATAATTTGATTTATTTCCAAAATGCCAAGCGTAGCTGAAGGCAAAAATGATTTTACGCATTTTCATTAAAAAAAAAAAAAAGAAAAAAAAAAAGAAAAGAAAAGGAACACATAAAAAAGACGTTATCTAGAGGATTATTATTCAAGAAACCTTGGTGTCAGATCCGAGATCCTTTGAGAAAGTCACAAAGAAAGATTGCAGTCATAACACTTCCAAAACTAATAAAAATTATGTTGTTATGCATGAATCATTCTTAGTATTTAATAATTACCTGTACATTAACGTGCCAAAAGTCATGGGTTAGGTGCAGGGCGGATGCGAGTGTTTCGTGCTCCAGTCGAATCTATGATACGTCCCCCACTCTATTACATCTCAATTTTCAATACAAATTTTATTGTAATCTACTTATTTACAATAATGGATCATATGTAATCTAAGTGAACAACTGAACTAGAAAAAATTGAAAATAAATACAATGTATCTAAATACAAATTAGTGACATGTCATAATAGGTAATTCCATTTTAAATAAATCAATGTTTCGTGGCAATTTTAACATCAACTTGAGATTTTTCTACTTAAAAAATTGAATAATTTTAACACATTCAAAATGTATTTACTTTCGAATAAATGCCTTTGCGAAAGGTATGAATATGTCTAATCTCTCTTTAGCTATGGGTTAAGTAGTAGAATAAACTCTTTAGCCTTGGGTGGTAATCAGTCTAAGAGAAGGAAAACTCTGACCTGGAAACCGTGGAGAAGGCAACGGGGAACCACTTCCCTATATTTCCCAAGAATGCACAGTAACGCACAGATAACTAAACAAAATGAATCGGTTGAGAGTCCTGATTGTCTACATCCTGAATGGGTAGGACATTAAAAAATAACATGGCGCTACCTACCCTTACCTTTACATACTGCTATTCCTTTACTATTGGCACGTCAAGGTACAATTTCCGTTATAACACTGATCATATTTGTCTATAGTAGTGAATTCACATTTATCTATCTTGATTAGTTTATATCTGGATGTGACGTAAACGTGAAATTGAAACGAATAAATAGTGCGTTTAATTTAATCAAAAAGATTTTCTTTTTCAACTTTAGGTGGTGTCTTTCCGACTTAATCTTTGGTGTGTAATTGGTTTTGAAGTTCAGTATTGTATTACACTAGTTGGGAAAGAGAGAAATAATGCATAGAGGAGAGAGAGAGAGAGAGGAAGGAAGGGAATTCATAAAATTTTATAGAGAGGGTGGGTCAAAAGAAAAATTGGATGAATGTACGAATGAAAAAGAGAGTGGATGAGAAAGAAGTGAGTGAGTGAGTGAGTGGGACGGGAAAGAATGAGTAAGATCGACAGCAGATAGACTGATGCGTTTTCTACGACTTAACCATTTGCAGGTTATTTAAAGCCAGGAAATATTTTTTAAATTGTAAGAATTTTTTAAGGGATAATAATGGTTAAGTGATACAAGTCTTACTAATTAACCCATAGCTGGAGGTTCATTCATGCCTTTTATTCTTGGTATTTTGCGCGTAAGTGAATGCTTAATTTTCGATTAACAATCATAAGACATTCAATATATATATATACCTAGTCTTCCCAAGAGGTCACCCATCTCGGTTCGACGTTGCTTAACTTCGGTGATCGTACGGGAGTCGGTGTTTCAACGTGATGTATCTATAAGCCACAGGAGTAAGAAGGGAATGATAGCGGTAAAAAGTGTGAATGAAAGTGAGAGATAAGAAAGAGAGAAGAGAAAAGGAATCATAACTATCAAAAATTTCAGAGAGAGAAAAGAAAGAGAGAAAAATCAGAGAGAGAGAGAAAAAAGGAATCAGAGAGAGAGAGAGATTTTAAAAAGGAATCAAAGAGAGAGAGTGAGAAAAACAAACAGAGAGAGAAGAGAGAATGAATCAAGATAGAGAGAGAGAGATTTGGGGATATAATTGAGTTTATCCAAGTGCTGGGATAGGAAGATTAATCCTTCTTCAGTCCATCAGAAAAGAAAATTATCGCTCTTTTCAGGACTTAACTCTCTAGTAGTTTGTTGGCTTTTCTCTTCCACATTTGCTGAGCTCATCCAATTTATGTGCGTGTTTAAATAAAAACGAAGACACGAAAACATTTCTTCAAATATTTCTTTTTCTTTTATTCAAGGAGGTCATTTCGTTGTTTTCTGTCACGCATCAACGGGAACAGCTGCACTGTCAGTGTTCATTGGATCAATTTTTTTATCTTTTTCAATGCTATGGTTGACCGCTCGTATCCAAAGAATTTTATCTTTTACAGTGGCTAGCTAATCCCTGTTCAGGTACATTAGTGACTGTTCAACACTCACAGAGCCAACTTGTTGTTTATACGGCACTTTGTTAGAAAAGTAAAAGAGATGCCGTTCTACAGAAGGATGCTGAGAATACAGAACATGTAAGCAACAAAGACGTTTTGAAGAAAATGGAAAGAAAAGGACTATTATCTATAAGATCATAAATCAAATTTCTAGGGAGATTGGTTTTTACGGCTTATCAACCTTTCGCGGTTTATTTAAAGTCAGAAAATATTTTTAGATTGTAAACATTTTTTTGAGAAAATAATGATTTACTGATACAAGTTTTACTAATTAACCCATAGTTGAGTTGATCAGTAATCGGAGAGCCGATTTCCAATTCAGAGACGCTATCCATTACACCACCCGCAAATGTAAGCGTACGGCACCTGGTATTCCCAAGCGGTCACCTATCTCGGTACTGACCAGGCTCGATGTTGCTTAACTTCGGTGATCGGACGAGAACCGGTGTCTCAAAGTGATATAGCTGTAAGCACTTTATGTCACCTGCACATCCAAGAGTGAATAATCAGGCTTGATAATTAGTTTGAACAAAACCAGTACCGCATCTGATATTCCCAAACGGTCACTCATATAGTACGGACCAGACTATACGTTGCTTAACTTCGGTGATCGTACGAGAACCGGTGTTTCAACATGATATGGTCGCAAGCCTGATATTTTTAAAACGCATGATGAGGAAAGAGGGCTGGAAAATTTGAAACTCAAAGAAAATATTGAGGGCAAGATGAACAGAGGGAAGAAGCGTATAGCATCCTTAACAAATCTGTGCAAATGTGTAGCAGAACAGGCAGAGGGAGCGAGAGTAAAAAAAAAAAAAGATTTTACGAAGTTGTGGAGAGCCGTGATTTCCCACGTCCTGAAGAGACATGGCACATAGAAGAAGATGCTGAGCGGACCTTAGTTACAGTTTCTGGGAAAGAGTGAATAATCAGGCTTGATCATTTGTTTGAACAAAACCAGTAAGCTCAAACCATCGGTCACGATCACTTGTGATTTGGTACTAGCATATATTCTTTTTTTAACATTTAAACTATAACAAAACATTTTTTGAGAATTCACTAGTAAATGTATAAGATGCTGAAGCATAGTGTGTCTAACACAGTGAAACATTCATTTTTTAAAATAATTTCACCCCAAGAAAGGCAATAAAAAGACTAAGGCATAAGTGGCTATTGACGGTGAGAAAAATGAAAACATTATTAAGGAGAGAGAACAATAAAAGAACAGGAATTAAGAAGGCAGTGTATAAGGATTGACATTATATTTAAATTTTTGAACATCAGAATAGACTGGAAAGCAAGAAGCTGGAAGAGAATTGCACACATGTGAAGTGCAGGAGGAGAAACTGTTAGCATAGAACTTACGGTTACATCTAGTCATTTCAACTGTAAAATGACGAGACCTTGCCGCCAATCTAGTACTGGGCTTAAATGAATAAAGTCTATGTACCATAGTTGAAAGTTTATCAGAACAATTAACGGCCTTTTCATGAAATGTTAATCAGCATATTAACGGTGCATGAATAATTGGCTCATGTGTCATGTCACTGACCATTTGGTGTCGAATTGTACTATGTTACTTGGTTTTATGCCTTGGTTGGCTATTTCAGAACTTATTAAAAGGTGAAAAACCTCCAAGGATGATCACTTTTAGATTCCTAATAGAAATACAGACGTATATTCAATATATATTTTTAATTAAACAGTATTAATTACATTTCCTGACTCTAAATGTTCGAGAAATTTCGTAGAGTTAAATACATAAAATGTAATTGATACTGTTTAATTAAAGAACAGGGCATTTACTTAAATAAATTGTATCTATAAAAATAACGTATAAACAGAATTATATATATATATATATATATATATATATATATATATATATATATATATATATATATATATTGGAAAGGTTGAATTACTGTTTTTAAACAACAAATTTCCTATGATTACTCTCGAACGCTCATATCTGCTCGAAGCGTATCTTAACGTAAACAAATGACATCATATATTATGAAATAGACTGAAAATTTTTATATATTTTCTGTTTATACGTTATTTTATTGAAACAAATATTTAAGTAAATATTTTCTATGATTTCTCGGAAATTCAGGCCGGTAAATTTTGTTAATACTGTTTATTATGAACGAGGCATTTACTTAAATATTTGTATCTATAAAATAACGTATAAACAGTAAATATATTAAAATAATTGTCGGATATTATATATATATATATATATATATATATATATATATATATATATATATATATATATATATATATATATGTCATCTACAGACAGACTGTTTCGCTGTATCACAGCTCCTCAATGTGTCTAGACGTCCGATTGCTTCAAACCGATTGAAACCCCGAACGATTTGCTGTCAATCAAAGATCCTAATCGGACGTCTAGCAACACAGAGGAGCTGTGATAAATACAAACAGTCTGTCTGTAGATGACATTATATATATATATATATATATATATATATATGCACTAATTCTTAATTCAAGGTTTTTTATCATAGTTTTTCTTACAATGAGGTTCACCATGTACAAGACCCAAGAACAACTATAAAAAACATATTCTTGGGAATCGGTTCAACAAAACAGAGGTTAGTGGGAAGAAGCTGCTCGATTGGAACTTACATCTCACGAATGGAATTAGAGTTGTTCGCTACAATAAACCTGGTATGGTGGGTTTTAGCTGCGAAGGCTAGAAATAGTGGAACTATGGAATGGTGTTCGTCTGAGCACATTCAATTGATATAGCGGTAGAGTAGGCTCACGATGATTCGTCTGTGAGGAAAGGAGTCGAAGGATGGAAAGTAATCACCCTAAAAAAACGCGTAGATATTTTTGGACTCCATAGAGACTGGAAACAGAAGACTTGGCATCTCCTGCCCATATATCGCAGCAGTACACAATTTGGGGGCTTGATCCAACTCTTATAAAAGGTAGAGGACAACAGGAGTGTGTCATTTACTTTCTGGAGCTGTATCGGGAACTGACCACTTTTTCAGTATCTTTAGCGATTGTTCCTATGTAGGAGATTCATTTGACGTCTGGTTCAGTTTAAGTACCAATATGATTAAAAAGATTTCATTGTATTGTTTAAAAATGATGCTTTTTTTCCAGAATGAACACGTTTCATTCTTTGATGAACGTAATTAGAAATACCCGTGAAAATTTCACTGTTTTCCTGATCAAGTTAATGATTGAGGAAGCTCAAGATGAGTTCTACGACAATAAAATATCCATAGAAATTCCCCCTAACGCATCATTAAATATCTGAGCTCAGCAACTTTAACAAAATATTGCAATAGCAATTATGAATGCTTTAAGAAAAAATGGGGTACAAATAAAAATATTTGAAATCGACAATCTTTTTTTCATTTCACTGAAACATACGTTAAACACTTTTATCTTTCTTTCTTTTACTTACTGAATAGCGTCTCTTTTCTGTCTTTCCACGCAATGCAAACAGAATAATCCATTATTTATGAAGTATTGGAAGGAGACATTAAATACTTCTTTCGTTTTTCACACTAAAACTAAGTAATGTCATTAATATGTCTTTTTCCACCTTTCCACGCGATCAAAACAGAATAGTTCATTATTTGTGAGGTATTGTCGAGCTTTACGGCCGCGCTAACTGAGGGAGGGAGGGAAGGGGTTGAGAAGAAGAATTATAATAAGATGTTTTTGTTTTTAAAGGTTTATGAAATATAATATTGGTGAAACAGAAAGTGATGAAAAGGATATTCCAAACGTTTTGGGAAATATATTTGAAAAAGTTGTATAACCAAGTTATTTTATTTTGTTTACATTTGACATCAACTTCGCCCAGAGGATTTCTGGCACTTTCTGATAAGATAATGATTCACGAATGTAATTTTGATTTTTATACGTGCTAGGTGAGTCAATATTTAATTAATGCAAGTTTTTTTTTTCCACAAACTGCTTGAGTCAGGGCTTGAGCCAGGAGCATGTTCCTATCTTATAAGAAAGTACAGGAATTAAAAGGAGCGATGTTCGGTTTTACAGTCGTAGTTCTAAATAAAAGTTTCTTCAATTAAATTCTATATTTTTGATCCGTTAAATAATTTTCTGACACCCACTTTTATTAAGACCCCTCGGTTTTAACAAAAAGGGGCATCGGAAAATTATTTAACGGATCAAGAATATAGAATTTAATTGAAGAAATTTTCCGATATGCCCTTTTTTTAATTTCATTTGACAATCAGTTACGTGCCATTCGTGATACATGACTGGGTAGGCAGATTTTTTCCCGCTATTTCTTTCTGCGGTAGACCATTTGCCATCCAAGGCTATAGAACTCGGTCTGTCCTGCTATTTACTCATAGCTGGTGGGGGGGGGGCTTTGGAGAGGAAGAGGATTCATACCTTTCCCAAGGGAAAGTAATAGATTTGACTTGAACTTGAACTCTGCTCTCCGATTCCTCAATCCGAGATGCTATCCATTACTCCACCATGCCTCCTTCATTTGATACAACTTATAATAACTCAACTAATTTGCTGACTGTATAATATTTATACTCCTAGAGAGCAGTGGATGCTGGATAATTTAATGAAGGAAAGTCTCAAGGCAAAAAGAGATTTTGTTCTACAGAAATCCTTCCGTAGAACAAAATCTCTTTTTGCCTTGAGACTTTCCTGAGAATACTGGACATGTAAGCAACAAAGAAATTTTAAAGAAAATGGAAAAAAAAAAAGGATAATTATCTACAAAACCACGAAAGAGAATTGAAATTTCAAGGTTGAATGAGATTTTTTTACGGCTTATCAAACTTTTACAAGTTTCCACCGACCGGCCAATGATTACCGTACGCTGCGGCTCCACCCTCGTTCGAGTCGATGTGTACCAAAAACCTAGAAAGGCCTGCTGCTCATTCACAAGGAACTCGAACCCAGTTTTTCAGTAAATTTAGATGTTTTGTGCCTACAGAATGTTGTGAAGGAAAACGTGAAGAAAGGACTAAGCAGCAATTGCAAGAAAACATAATGCAAAAGGAACAACCCAAAATGCAAATTACAAATGTGTAATTCTGAAATCAAACAGATGCTACAAGTTATATATTTGCGAAGTGTTTTAACAGAGGACGAAAAGTGTGACACTGAAATCCGAAGGCGCATTGGGATAGCGAAAGATGCCTTTCAAAAGCTAAGCAAAGTATTAAGAAACAGAACAGAAATAGAAAAAAACAACGCACAATCTACCTGGTGAGCTTACGTGAATTTATGGCAAAGCAGAGGCTATGGGAGAGATGGCAAAAAGACAACATTTATTATTGTGGTGAACCTGAAGTGGCACGGCACGAAGAAGAAGAATCAAGGCTTCGCTTTCTCGGTTTGCGTAGGTAGGTAACACTTGGGAAAACTTCTATCATGTTAGTCAAAGAGCTTAGCTCTTTCCTTCGATTCATTCACCCCACCAACCAAACCCTCTGCTCATCTACACACCACGGCGTGTGTCAAGCATTCTGAACAGGTGACATCGGAACTACCCGAGGAACAATCTGTCCCCTGCCAAGGGCAGACAAAAACTGACCCTCTATATTCCAACCATGATTGTTAGTATAGACAGGCAACCGGAAATCTTCACTGTCCGGTTTTGATGTCA